AGATAGATAGATAGATAGATAGATAGATAGATAGATAGATAGATAGACAGACAGACAGACAGACAGACAGACAGACAGACCCGGGATCTAGAGAATAGAGATTGCTGGCTCAGAGCAAAATTCGGAGGTGACTGATGGATGCCAGGAGGGGGGAAATATATATCTATATATCTATCTATATCTGTATCTGTATCTGTATCTCTCTCTCTCTCTCTCTCTCATCTCTATCTATCTATCTATCTATCTATCTATCTATCTATCTATCTATCTATCTATCTATCGGCATCTTTTTTGATGGCCTTGCAGGCTCGACCGGGCCTCCAAGGCCATACAGTAGCGCTAGAAAATGTCCCTGCGCTTGGCAAACCCCGCCATGAAGCCTCCGACAAGCCTGTGAGTCACGCCAAGGCAGATTTTTCAAAGATGACTCACCTGTTTGGAAAGCAACCTGGCTGCTTTCTGTGGGGGATGGTGGGGAGCGGGGTGGGGGTGGGGGGCGCAGGGAGAAACACCGCAAAAGTGTCCCTCCCCCCCCCCCCCCCACGCACCAAGGGAAGTTAAAAGCTCCGATGACCTCGGGATGAACCAGGTTCAATGACAGGAAAAAGGGAAGGGGAAGCCTCGGCTTAGCCCCGTTGCACATTCTCTGAGCTTCAGAGAAAGGAGAATTATATTTGTGAGGCTCAGGGTTGAGGAAGGGACGGGGCTCTCTCTCGCAGCTGGCTTGTTTTCTTTGCAGACGTTTCGTGACCCTACTGGGTAACATCGTCAGTGCTGGAAGGGAATGGGGTTTGCAAGGAGGAGGAGGAGGAGGAGGAGGAGGAGGAGGAGGAGGAGGACGGTAGTGGCAATAAACCCCACTCCTTCTAGGACTGATGATGTTACCTAGTTTGGGTCACGAAACATCTCAAAGGAAACCAACCTCAGCGAGCATCAAGGATCCCTCATAAATAAGCTTATCTGTGAAGGGGAAAAAAAAAATCTCCTTCAACGCAGCTGTCGGGGGAATTCTGGGAGTTGAAATCCACAAGTCTCCAAAGTTGCCAAGGCTGGACCCCCCTGTTCTTCAAAGACAGGGAAAAGATTGAGAGAGAGAGAGAGATGCCTTTTCCCGCAGGCTGTTCAGAAATTGCTACCCCCCAAGGCTACTCCTGCAACCTGGTTCAAAAGGTAGCCAATTTGCACATCGCTTTTCGTTCCTTCTGCAAACCTCCAGTTGGGTTAGTGGCGCTGGATTTGCTCGCAGGCCCTCCGATACACGGCACTCCCTTCTTTGTAACCGGGCTCGTGTTGTTTTAAAAACAAGTAAGATTAATATTATTATTTTTAAAAAAAAAATCACCACCACCAGATGGCTCCAACCTTTTGAGGTCCACCAGCATCCCAACTGAGCTGCTAAAAAAATCTCAGAGGGGAGGACTCACCTTTGAAATAGAGGTGGATAAAAAAATCAGTGATGATACGAATCTTCTAAAACCTCCCTTCTAAAACCTCTTTTATATATATATTTATTTATTTATTTATTTATTTGCAGGCCAACTTTTGGACTGCCTCCGATATTGGCTCCAGGACATAACCAGGGGCTGGTGTGTGTGTGTGTGTGGGGGGGTGTCTGTTCTTTTTCTCTTGACGTCACAGCCCTTTCTAAGCACAGCTGTCCAAACATCGGCCTCCCCAAAGTCAGAAAAGTGTGCGTGCCTAAAGGCCCGGACTGGATCCTTGGCTCTCTGCTTGGAGGAATCCACCCCTAAGACTTCCGTCCCCTGGAGGGATCTGAAAATAATGTCTTCTTCTTCTTCTTCTTCTTCTTTTTTTGCAGCCACCGCCCTGGTTGAATGGGGCCAGGTTATTTAAAACACAGCCTTTCCCGTCCTAGAAAATTGGAAAGAGGCAACGGGGGTGGGCGGGTGGGGTCATTTTATGCTTGCCTCCATAAAGCAAAGAATTGGTAGCTCAGGGTTGAAATGAGGGGTCGTGGGTGGTCTCTGAACTTGGCGGTTTTCTTGCAGATGCTTCGTGAGCCAACTAGGTAGCATTATCAATGTGAGAAGGGAGGGGAGTTTTGTGAGGGGGAGGGGAGGAGAAGGAGGAAGGAAGGAAGGAAGGAAGGAAGGAAGGAAGGAAGGAAGGAAGGAGTGGAAGCAAGATAATTGAGTGAAGGAAGGAAGATGATAGACAAAAGGAAGAAGACGGGGAAGGAAGGAAGAAGGGGAAGGAAGGAAGATGACAGAGAAAGGAAGGAAGGAAGGAAGGAAGGAAGGAAGGAAGGAAGGAAGGAAG